TGACTCTGTAAACCGCTTAGAGAGAGCTGAAAGCCCTATGAAGCGGTATATAAGTGTAACTGCTATTGCTATTGCTAAAAGAGACATAATCAAATATTTCTAAAAAGCCACATCAACAAACAAGCCTGCGATAAACAGAAAAGCACCCCAGACTACAGCCCACAAAAAAGGAAGGTGAGCATTGGTGATAGGAGATTCTATTCTCAAAAGAACAAAACCAGCCATCTGCAGATCAGACATACAATCTAGGGAGGTATGTTGTTGCCCTGGAGCAAAAATCAAGGATATGGCTGAGAACCTAACCAAAATAATTAGGCCCACTGATTACTACCCTTTCTTCCTCCTTCACATTGGGATGAATGACACAAAAAAGAACCTGAGTACAATATTGAGAGATTATAAGCAACTAGGCAATAAAGTTAAGGTACTAGGAGCACAAGTAGTGTTCTTATCACAACTCCCAACAAAAGGTCAACACCCATTGATGGGGGAAAGAATCCTAGAAATAAATCACTGACTAAAGGGTTGGTGTTGCCAAGAAAACGTTGGTTTCCTGGACCATGGACTACATTACTAAAAGAAGGACTATTGGCAAGGGATGGGCTGCACCTCACAAAAACAGGGGAAAATGTATTTGGAAAAAAATTGGCCCAACCCATCAGGAGGGCTTTAAACTAAAATTGAGAGGGGAGCATGACTAATCTTTAGAATCTCTAGAACACAAAACCAATCATAAATCCCAAGAAAACAAATCAAACAATGAGGCAGGGAGTGATGGGGAAAAAAAACCCCAAACAACAATTAGGAAATGCAGGAACCATATCCATGGACAGACATAAAAGTATTAAATGCTTATATATAAATGCTCAAAACTAGAAGCAATAGTACATGAAGGTAGGTATGACATAGTTGCCCTTACAGAAACCTGGTGGAGTGAAACCCATGACTGGAATGTATTGTTGAATGGATACAAATTGTTCAAAAGAAACAGGTCAACAGAAAGAGGAGATGAAGTGATGAAGTTATACTATATGTGAGAGACAACTACATATCTACAGAAATGCACATGATCAAAGATAAAACCCCTCCAGAATGTGTAGGGATCAATATAAAAGGGAAAAAGTGATATTGCCATAGGCGTATATTACAGGCCAACCAACCTATCAGAAGAAATAGATGAATTCTTTGCCAATCAGTTAACAGATGTATGTAGGAAGCATGCTACAGTAGTAACGCAAGACTTTAACTATCCAGATCTCAACTAGGAGACAAACTCTGCAGCAAGTGGGAGGTCAAACAGATTCCTGACCGACCTAGGTGACAACTTTGTCATCCAAAAGGTAGAGGAGCGAAGTAAAAGTAAAGATACTTGACTTAATTCATACTAACAGAGAAAAATTGATACAGGGAGAAGAGATTGCTGGAACTTTGGGTGAAAGTGACCACGTCATACTACAATTCAATATAATGCAAACATAAGCAATAGAAGATAATCCAATCAGTATCTTAAACTTTAAAAGAGTTGATTTTAACAAACTCAGATAGAGCACAGGAAAGTTTCCATGGATGAAAATGCTAATGGGGAAAACTACCCAAGAAGCATGGAAACTCTGAAAAATGTGATCATAAAAGTCCAGGCCAGTACAATACCATTGAAAAAGAAAAACAACAAAATTCAAGAAGAAGCCAGCATGGCTGCACAAAGATCTCTCTGACAAACTGAAAAACAAAAAGGACAAGCACAAAAAATGGAAAGAGGGACACACAACTAAGGCTGATTATCAGCAGATAGCCAGAACATGGAAAGATGAAGTCAAGAAAGCAAAGGCTCAGAACAAACTAAGGCTTGCTACAAAACTCAAACATAATTTAAAAAGTTTCTTTCAACATATTAATAACAAAAAAGTCAAGGAAACAATAGGTCTACGAAAGAGAGAAGATGGCAAGGAAGTAACAGGCAGTAGGAAGAAAGAAATGCTTAACTAATTCTTTGCATCAATCTTCACACAAAAAAGAATTATAGCCCAACGTACCAAAAAAACTACTGTAAAAGGCAAACTAGAAATAAATATTAAAATAAGCAAGAAAATTGTAAGAGAACACCTATCTGACCTTGATGAATATAAATCACCAGGATTTGACTGATTACACTCCAGAATTCTTTTATTTTTAAAGTTTTTTATTTTTACATTTTCATAACATATAACAACATGTATACGATTACATAACTAACATCATATTGTATTATTAAATGTTTACATCAATTTATCTTGCCATCAACTCCCAAAAACAATTATTGGCTCTCCATACATCATATTTGTACCTTATCCATCACTTTCTTCTCCCTCTTTCCTCTGTCTCCCTACCTCCTTTCTTACACCCCAGAATATTGAAGGAGCTTGCAGATGCAACCACAGAACCACTGAACCATATCTTCCAAAAATACTGGCGCACCGGGGAAATATCTGAAGGTTAGAAAAGGGCTGAGGTGGTTCCCATCTTCAGAAAGGAACAAACAGATCAGTCAGTCTAACATTAATACCTGGAAAGATCCTGGAAAAGGTAATAAAAAACCAGATCTGCATACAATTACAAGCAAATAAAGTTATAATTAGAAGCCAGCATGGGTTTGTTAAAAACAGATCATGCTAAACCAATCTTATTTCATTCTTTGATAAAGTCACTAAAATAATAGAATCCCAAAATGCTGTGGACATAGTATACTTAGATTTCAGTAGAAGAAAGTAAACCACAATCTATTTCTTGGTAAACTAGAAAAATGTAGAATAGACAACATCACCACCAGATGGATTTGTACCTGGCTGACTAGTAGTCCTTAATGGTACTACAACCACATGGAGAGAACTAAGCAGTGGAAGGATCCATCTTAGGCCCAGTACTCTTCAATGTCTTCATTAATGACTTAGATGAGAGAATAGAAGGGGAACTCATCAAATTAGCAGATGATATTAAACTGGCAGGAATATCCAACACCCCAGAAGACAAGCTCAGGATCCAAAAAGATCTTGACAAACTTGAACAATGGGCCCTATCCAACAAAATGAATTGTAATGTGTGGAAAAGCAAAGTTTTACATTTTGGTAGGAAAAATCAAAGTATAAATATAGATTAGGCAAGACCTGGCTCAAAAATAGTAACCGTGAGAGGGACCTTGGAGTCCTAGTGGATGATCATTTGAATATGAGCCAGCAATATGCAGCAGCAGCCAAATAAGCTAATGCAATCCTGGGTTGTATAAACAGAGGCATAGAATCACGTAAAATATTAGTGCCGCTTTATAAAACCCTAGTAAGACCACACCTGGAATACTGCAACCAATTTTGGTCACCATACTACAAAAAAGATGTTGAGACATTGAAAAAACTTCAGAGAAGAGTAACTAAGATGATCAAAGGCCTGGAGACTAAAACACATTGAGAATGGTTGCAGGTTTTGGGTTTGGTAGCCTAGAGAAAAGAACAATTAGAGGCAACTATGATAGCAGTATTCCAGTATTTGAGGGGCTACCATGAAGAAGAGCGGGTCAAATTATTCTCCAAAGCACCAGAGGGCAGGACAAGAAACAATGGCTGGAAACTAATCAAAGAGGGAAGCAACCTGGAATTAAGGAGTAACTTACTAACATTGAGGACAATTAACCAGGAGAACAGCTTGTCACCAGAAATCGTGAGTGTTCCATCACTAGATGTTTTAAGAAGAGTTTAGACTAGTTTAAATTGTCACATCTGAAATGGTATTGGTTCTTCTGCTAGCAGGGGATGAGACTAGAAGATCTCCAAGGTCCCTTCCAACTCTTATTCTATTCTATAAAAAAATAACCTTCCCTAAAACCCAAAAAATGGAAGACTGGACTAGTATTGTTTTTTATCTGTTGTC